GAGACACCCAGAGAGGGTGATCCAGGCGGACAGGATGTGAGAGGAAGGAGGGAGACTGTGGGAATGGAGGGAAAAAACAGAAGGACACAGACTGGGTGACAGACACATTGAGTATAGATAGACATGACACAAACCCAAACACATAGTATGGGAGGGGGTGACACAGAAGGCACAAGCCACGAGGAGGCGAGGGAATAAAGGCCACAGTGCAGGCATGGGAGAAATGACAGGAGGAGCCATGCAGCAGCAGGCTCAGACAGCAGTACAGTCGAGGAGAGCCTGGGAGAACAGCCGCCGGGATCTCAGAACTATGAATGAGAGGACTATGAACAGTTTTCTGTGGAAGCAGATGCCCAGGCAGGACAGGCTGAGGCTAAACAGAGGAGGAGGATCTTCAGCCACCCTCCCTAGCACATGGACTCACAAATATCCTGCAGGGTCGGGGGCTCCCGGAAAGCTAGGTTCAAGCCGGGCAGGGTTTGTCCAAGCTTCCTATAACACTACTGTTTCTGTCACCGGGCAACCACAAGCTAGGGCTGGCTCCTTAGTTCAGGCCTTCTCTATCCAAGGCTGAAAACAGCCCTCCACAGCAAGGGGGCCCCCAGAACGGCTTCCCCTAACTCAGACAAGACAGCTTTGTTTGGGGGGCATTTGGCTTGGCAGCCCTGGCTTAGGGCCTCCTAACTACACCCTGAAGCCTCCATCCCCAAGATCTGCTCAGCTCACCACTCTTGCGATTCGCTCCTTTAGCAATAAGAAAACTGTCAGTTGGTCGGCTTTCCCCGACTGATTCCATCCCAAATCAATTTCCCCCCTGGTCCACCGTCCTCTCCATCCCCAACTCCTCTTCCTCCTGGCCTGCAGTGACTCCCCTACCTTCTTCACCTAGGCAGAGCTCCAGGGGCTGGGAGCAGAGTGCTGGTCCTGGAGATTAGTTTTAGGACTTCCCAAAAAAAATTGTTCGGCCAGGGGAGACTGGACCCCCCCTTCCTCCCCCCTCTTCGTTGATCCCTCCCACATCCCCTAGAGCCCTCCCACATTCCGCTTTCTCCCTCCATTCCAGCCAGGCCAGTTCCCTCCTCTAGATCTTCCCCTCCCCCGTGGAACTGGCTGCAGCCGTCCCCCTACCCCCCCCCCCGCGCCCGCCGCCCAGAAGCGTTCGCCCCCCGCCCCCCCCCCCGGAGGTTGGAGATCCGGCAGACGCGGTCAGGGTGCTGGACTTGCAAACGGTTTCGGGATCGGCCCCTGTGGAGGCGGGAAACTTTCCAGACCCCAGCCGTTCCTTCACATCCCCCACTTGACAGAGTATCAACAGTCCAGTTCAGCTCCAGGGCTGGGCCATGGGAGCAGGTCCCGCAAGGCGAACTAATGTTCAGAGGGCTCCCTTGGTCGTTGTGGTGCCCTCGGGTGCCTGCGGGTGATGTCACGGCCTTCACTCTGATGTCACGTTAAGCATATGACGTCAGTCTCAGCCCCCCGACCTCCCAGGCACCAGGGCCCTCTGGTTGGCAATCACTGCTTCCCTGAGTGGCACCACCGTGCGAACTAAGGTATGATAAAGGCCCCAGTTAGTTATCTTCCTGCAGGCTCCTCTTTCTCCAACCCCCATCATCGCCGCAGGGGCCAGGGAGGAGCAGGCACGCCTCCGGCACCCTGCAACCCCGCCCCGCCCCACCCCCCGCCCTCGGGCCAGGAAGCGCGGAAGGAACCACCCGGGCCATGGAAGGAGCTGTGATGGAGGGTCCGCTCTTTCTGCAGAGTCAGCGCTTTGGGACCAAGGTAGTGTGTGTATGTGTCTGTGTGTGGCGTGGGGGGATGGTGAAACCCCTCTGGACTAGAAGTGGGTGAAAGTACCCAGAAAGAGGGAAGGGGCCGGAAGCAGGTCGGAACGCCGCGAGGGCAATTGTAGAGCTCCACGACGTTCCCTTGAAGCCCCAGGCTGTGCCCTCCCTTGGTGCAGAGTTGGAATGGCATTATCTTTGGGAAAGTGTTCCTGCCTGGGAAGCCACAGGCTCAGATCGGCCTACTTGGGGTCTCTTCTTCCCCGTGGGGCGCGTGCTACCGCGCACTACCGCGTCTTTCGTTTTTTCCCAGAGGTGGAGGAAAACCTGGGCTGTGCTCTACCCGGCTAGTCCTAACGGCGTAGCGCGGCTGGAGTTCTTTGACCATAAGGGGTCGAGCTCTGGAGGGGGTCGAGGCGGCTCTCGCCGTCTGGACTGCAAGATGATCCGCCTGGCTGAGTGTGTGAGCGTGGCCCCTGTGTCTGTGGAGAGTCCCCCAGAGCCCGGCGCCACTGCCTTCCGCCTGGACACCGCGCAGCGCTCGCACCTGCTGGCGGCGGACGCCCCGTCCAGCGCCGCCTGGGTGCAGACTTTATGCAGAAACGCCTTTCCGGTGAGGGGTTGGGGGTGAGCTGCCCTGGGCCTAAGGGACCCTGCGAGAATGGGGCTATTACAGCGGCACCGGACCTCCTGCACCTACTCCACACCCTATATAAGGTTCTCGTTGTGCCTTTTTCCGCAGAAAGGCGGCTGGGCTTTGGCGCAGACCGAGAACCCGCCTAAGTTTTCTGCCTTGGAGATGCTGGAAAATTCACTGTACAGCCCAACCTGGGAAGGTAGATGCCTGGCATGAATGGAGTTGGGGAAAGGATGTGCTCTTGGGGAGCTAGTGTTGGTGTCTACCGAGTCCCTAGCCTGCCCCAGCGCTCCTTCCCCTTTCTGTGTGTTCCTTCCAGGCTCCCAGTTCTGGGTAACCACGCAGAAGACCGAGGCTTCTGAACGCTGCGGTCTGCAAGGCTCCTACGTACTGAGGGTGGAGGCCGAGAAGTTGACCCTCCTGACTTTGGGGGCCCAAAGTCAAATCCTGGAGCCGCTCCTTTTCTGGCCCTACACTCTGTTGCGACGCTATGGCCGGGACAAGGTGCAGGGGCTTTCTGGGAGGATGATTGTCAGAGAGGGCATAGTGTAGCTGTAGGCCACCAATTACGTCCCCAGGTGGTCTCTTCTCTGCAGGTGCACTAACTTGGTCATACCTGTGGTCATCTCTTGTGACACTCCTAATGTGTTTCCCTTCCCACCCCCAGGTAATGTTCTCTTTTGAAGCCGGCCGCCGCTGCCCCTCTGGCCCTGGAACCTTCACCTTCCAGACTGCACAGGGAAATGACATCTTTCAGGCAGTTGAGGCTGCCATCCAGCAGCAGAAAGCCCAAGGAAAGGTGGGACAGGGACAAGATGTCCTTAGAACTGACTCCCATGAAGGGGAGGCCGAGAGGAAGGTGGTTTCCTCTCCTGTTCCTCAGGAGCCTCTGGGCAGCCCCCCGGCCCTATATGCTGAGCCTTTAGACTCCCTGCGAATTCTCCCAGGCCCTTCTCAGGACTCTCTCTACTCGGACCCCATGGGCAGCACCCCTGCTAGGGCAGGGGAGGGGGTGCACGCAAAGAAACCTCTCTACTGGGACTTGTATGGGCACGTACAGCAGCAGCTGCAGAAAACCAAGCTGACGGACTCCAAAGAGGACCCCATCTATGATGAACCTGAGGGCCTGGCCCCAGCCCCTCCCCGGGGCCTTTATGATCTGCCTCAGGAGCCTAAGGATGCATGGTGGTGCCAGGCTCGGGCGAAGGAGGAAGGCTATGAGCTCCCTTACAACCCTGCTACGGATGACTATGCTGTGCCACCTCCTCGCAGCTCGAAGCCTGTGCCTGCTCCCAAGCCGCAGGGCTTGGTTCTTCCTGAACCTGGTCCCACAGGTGGCAGTGGCAGCAAAGGCCACAGCTCAGACACAGCTCTATACAGCCAGGTCCAGAAGAGTGGACCCTCAGGGGCTTGGGACTGTGGGCTTTCTAGAGCAGGGAATGGCAGGGGAGGGGTCAAGTCAGAGGGCTCCACCTGAGGCAGCTGCTGATAGTTCACAGGGAATTCGTGCTGATAGTTCATGGGCACTGAAAATCAAACCTGTTATAACCAGCAGGAACCAGAGGGTGGGAGGGGCCTATGTTAAGGCTAGGGGATCAGAGGCATCAAGGGATGACCAGCTCCAGGAAGTCACAGGAAGTAGAACAGATGAGAAGGCCGAGAGATAGGCTGTGGGGAGGCTCATAGTGCTAAGGAATGGATGGCTCATGAACTAGGCCTGTGGAAGGGAACCCCTGGTCAGAGTGGATGCACTCTGGGGAGGCCGGTGTGGATCCTTACTCTTGTGTTATTCTTTGCCAGACATAATTTTAATTTATAAAACAAATCTCATTAAAGCCAGTTTGGGTTGAAAAAGTCTCTGTGTGTGAATAGACACAGTGGCCATGTGCTGGGAGGGTGTGGAGTGATCAGGAGAAGAACCAGAAAGATGTTGGGGGCTGGGGAAGGAAAGGGCCCCAGCGAGTGAAGTCTGCAGTGTGATGGCTTGGAGCCTGGGTGGCCATAGGCTCACCTAGGCTGGTCTCTAGCTTGGTGGCCCTGGGTCGGTTGTCTGCTAACCAGGATCCTTAACTTTCCTCTGCAGTCCCTCCACCAAGGGTGAGAATTTGGCTCAGCTTCAAAAGATTGCTTGCATCGAACTGGATACATTTTCCGAGCACCGAGTGTCATCCAAAGCCTAGGGAAGGCACTTGACAAATGGCAGCTATGTTTCTGTAGTTCACGGGCTCTGACAGGAAGGTAGGCAGGTGTGGGGAGAGGAGATGGGATAGGGAGTAGGCTTCTTTCTTTCACAGTTTCTACTCCCTTCTGCTGGGCACCAGACAGCGCCTCGTCCCCTGGACAGACACAAGCTTGCTTATAGGGCCCGAATGTCTGAAGCCGAAGGGAACTGCTGTGGGCGGTTTGGGAAGGACACCTTTCTGGACTAGGGTGCAGGGTCCAATGTCTTCATTTTTCTTGAGCTGTGAACCTCACTGTGATTCTCGAGTTGCAGTTTCCCCAAGGGTGACCCAAGCTCATCCACCTTCTTACACAAAGCTGCAGGAAGAAATTTCAGCCTAGCAATGCTCCTAACAATGGTAGAGGCTTACTGGACATTTATTTGTGTCAACGCTATCAAATAACTCGAAAGAGGAAGAAAATCCCTGCTGGACAAAAAAGACAGGTCTGGGTGTGCTGCTTTCAGCCCCAAGTTGGGCAAGGGCAGTACCGGGGCCAGAGGTGGGGAGGTTCAGATGGAGAGAAGGCAGATCCACACTGGGGCAGCCATCCTGTGCAGTGTGGCTTTGTCCTGGCGCTGGAGGCTTAGGTCTGAGAAGGATACTCTTCTTCTGAGTCAGAGGGCAGGAAGGTTCCTGAGGAAGTTTTGTTGGCTGCTGACATCTTGGGAGCTCTACCTGTGGCTGGAGCCACTGTCAGGGGGAGCACTGTTGTTCGGACTCTGCTGGTCTGTGGCTGTCCACCCTGCAAAGAACAACCGGAGTCTTGTATGGAGACCAGACAGCGTCTACCTCCTTGTCACTGGTCTCTGCCCGACTCTGGTCCCACTTCCTTCCCAGATCTCATTTCTAGAGCGGCACCCTGAAGGTCCAGGGTAGTGACTGCATTCCCTAGGCTGCTGTACTATCTCCTTGCCCAATGCCCCTTCTCTGTCAGCTTGCCCTCCAAACCCTCATGGGGGGCTCTGCTCCTAGGCATCTGGTCATTGCTTCTACTTCTGGAGTTCAGAAACTACCTTCTGCAATTGTAGCTGAGACAGAAATGGAAGTTTTTTTCCAAATGCTCAGTTACAGAGAAACCAGGAAAAACCACTGAGCAAAAGGAAATCTTAATGCCGGGCGGTGGTGGCGCACGCCTTTAATCCCAACACTCAGGAGGCAGAGGCAGGGGGATCTCTGCGAGTTCAAGGCCAGCCTGGTCTACAGGAGCTAGTTCCAGAAGCAGCTCCAAAGCTACAGAGAAACCTTGTCTCAAAAAGGGAACCCTTAATACAATAGTTGGTTTGGCTTCAGAGCTCCAGCAATCCTCCTGCCTTAGCTTCCTCAGTGCTGGGTTCACATGTGTGAGCCACCATGCTTGGCTTCTGGTTTTAAACCTTTTCTCCGGAGCCCCATTCTGAGGTACTAGTCCAGGTCTGTTTCCTCACCTGTCCTCAGCGAGACTTCCCTTGCTGGTGTTGTGAGAAGTGATAGGATCTGAAGCTCTTCTCAGAAAGCCTGAAGCTCTAGATCCTTTCCCTTCCCTTAGGGGGTTCTACTTCCGCCTCCCTGTCCGCCTTTTTATTTTTTATTTTTTTTTTCCCCAAAGAGAGGGCTGTAGTTCCAGTGTGGCCTGTTTGCGTAACAAGACAGGTAGTGGATGACTAAGAGTTACAGACAGAATACCTAAGCCACAGGCATGGTGACCTCAGGAGGCTGAGGCGAGTCGAGGGCAAGCTCAAGATCAGTCTGGGCTATACTGTTACATCGTGAGCCCAGTTTCAGGAAACCAAACCAGAACCAAAACCAACTGACCCCCCCTCCCCACAATTGCTGCTGTTGCAGGGTGGAGATGCAGGACTCCCTTGGACCCAGGGCACAAAGGGGATGGGAGGCTAAAGGGAAGGATGGGGGAAGGAGGGAGATGTACCTTTCTAAGGCCTCTGCTCTCCCTGCTTGTGGAGAGGCGTCCCTGAGGCTTGGCATGGGTGCTACTCAGATGTGAGTACAGGCGGCTCTCAACTTGCAGGGGGTTGTAGGTGGCTCCCAGCTCCAGGCTGTCTAGTGTGTTCTGAGGACGAGAGGATGCATTTTATTCCGGGAACTCAAAGTCATGGAACTTGAGATGCTCCATGCTCCAAAGTCATAGAACAGTACTGAAAGGCTGGGGGAGGGGGAGGATCCCAGCCTGCGGTTGAGGCTGAGGTAGATGAGTCCCACCGGTGTTCTGCCCCACGAGGATGTGCTTGTTTCAGGAGAAGGAATAGAAGTAGATGGAACGCCTGGTGGTTGGAGACTCTGAAGCCCTTAATACTGGCCCCAGGAATTAGTACTGGCCCCAGGAAGGGTTACTGGATTCTGAGAAAAGCCAGAACTCTCCGAGAGGTACAAGGGGTCCAGTGTGGAGGGAAGAGGAGGTGTGTCTTTAGGTTACACATAGGGTAGGGGTGCTCCAGGTCTTAAAACAAGTACGGGGAGTTCCCAGCCTGAGGTGAGTGGGGCACAGCAGGAGGACATTGGAGCACAGCATTCCTGAGTAGTTAGGTTTTCCGGCCACAACATCCTGTGCCAGGAGTGGCCTGGCCCTGAAGTAAGACCCACCGAGGGAACCATGGCATTCCTGCCCACCTCTTAGCTGCCAAGCAGCGAGCACAATCCCCGGCTCTGTCCTTCTGCTCCTCAACCAGCCAGCCAGCTGTGACTGTGGTTCCCATTCTCCCCATCCAGAGCCTCCTCCGCCACCCCAACCCGAGGGGCACAGACACAGAGAGGAGGAGGGGAGGGAGAGCAGAGAGGGAGGAGCGGAGAGAAGGGGAAAGGGGGTGCTGCAGAAGGCGGCTCGTGGCCTCCTGGCCTCTTTGCATCTGAGTTTTGGACTTTTCCTCCTTTCCCCAGCAGAGGCCTAGAGCACAAGAATACATATGCGTATGACAGGACTATAGGTGCACAGGTGGAGCCACAGACATGCTGTCATCTGTCTAGAGGCTTGGCATGAGCACACTAGAACACCATAACGACCACCTGAAGACATGAAAGTCCACCCACATCTTCCCATTGGGCATCTCCCTTATTGGCCATCATTCCTTTGCTCCCACTCCTTTGATCCCTCCTCCCTATTGTACTCCTTATGGTCCCCTCTCCAAGGCAAGCGCAGAGGGTCGTGATGGCTGGCTTTTGCAAAGGGCACTCCTGACAAAGCTAAACAAATCAGATTCAACTCCTGGACCTGAGCTGCCTGTCTGAACTTCCTCCCCTGCCTGCTCTCAGCTTTCCCTTCTGGGGTACTTGCCCTTTTTCCTTCACAGCAGTGGTATATTATGCATTTTGATAAATCTTGCCTGAAGGCCAGAGGCTACTAGAGGCCAGACAATGGTGGCACACACCCTTAATCCCAGGATTTGGGAGACAGAGTTAGATGGGCCTCTGTGAGTTCAAGGTGACCCTGGGCTACACAAGATCAATGCAGACATAAATCCAGGTGGTGGCGGCTCACACTTTAACCCCAGTCCTAGCGAGTCACACACCTTTAATCCCAGCATGAGAGGGAATATAAAATGGGAGGAGAGAGACTTAGTCGGTTTAGCCTATGGTCAGTCGCTCAGCCTTGGTAGAGGTAAGACTTCTCTAGTGTCTTGGCTGCCTTGATTTTCTGGTTTTCGGGTTGAACCCCAATATCAGACTCTGGGTTTTTATTATTTGTGCTACATATATTTTTTCTCTTAATTTATTATGTTGAATTTGATACCATAGGTAGGATTTTTTCATGTGTTTGACATCAAACACAAAATATGTTCATTTTAAAATACAGAATGTCAAAAATATCCATTTTTTTGTACAAAGCACATGTTTTCATGGGCATAAGATTCAAGGAGGTGGTGGCAAGCTGTCATAAGGTGGGCAGCATGATCATCCATACCCAAAGAAAACCAGTAAGAAAAAGAAGCTACATAGAATTACGTTATTTCTTCCCCTAAACTCCGCAAGTCTTTCAAGTACTGCGATTGTCCTCTCCTCTGTCAAGAAGCCCGCCCTGTGGTCTTCTAACACACAGTTGGTCTGTCTTTACAAGGTCACCAAACAACTTTTTCTCATTTTACAATCCCAGTTCCCTCTCCCTCCTCTCCTCCCGCTCCCCCCACCTTCTGCTCACCCCCACTCTGCATCCACTCCTCAGAGAGGGTAAGACTTCCCACGGGGAGTCAACAAAGTCTGACACATCGCTTTGAGGCAGACCAAGGCCCTCCCCTCCAAAGAGAATGGGCTGCAAAACGCCAGCTCAAGCACTGGGGATAAATCCTGGTCCCACTGCCAGGGGCCCCACAGACTGCCCCAGCCACACAACTGTCACCCACATTCGAGGACCTAGTTCAGGCCTATGCATGTTCCCCTGCTGTCAGTTCCGAGTTAAGGAGCTCCCATTAGCTCAGGCCAGTTGTTTCTGTGGGTATCCTCAGGGGTATGCGTGTGTGTGTGTGTGTGTGTGTGTGTGTGTGTGTGTACATGTACATGTTTATGTATGTGCCCATGTCTAGGGATCTTCTCTAAAATGAATGGCACCAATTCCAAATTATTTGCCTATGTTGAGGCCCATTTCTCTCTCAACTCTCTGCACAAACCTTATTTCCCTCAAATCCGGCTTGCTTCTCAATTAATTTTCGCTTTGCTGCCTTAATCAGATCATTGACGTCTTCCCACTTCATTTTCTACTTTTATTTTTATTTCTGATGGCCATAACAAGCCCTGCCTGCTCCCCATCTCTCCCTTATGGCCCCATTTTTCTCCCTCACCCGTTTCTCAAGCTCTGCTCTATTTCCACACGGTATGGTGGTTTAAATGAGATTGACTACCGAAGGCTCAAATATTTGCATGCTTAATCCCCAGTTGGTGAATACTTTGGAAAGATTAGTGACTTGTTGGAGAAGGTGTGTCGCTGGAAGTGTATTTTGAGGTTTCAGAAGCCCACAGCAGGCCCAGTGTCTCTCTGAGAGCTAGGATGTAGCTCTCAACCAGTGCCCCAGTGCCATGTGTGCCACCATGTTCTCCACCACATTGGTAATGGACTAAACCTCTGAAACTGTAAGCAAACCCCCAGTTGAATGTTTCCTTTTATAAGAATTTCTTGGTCATGATTTCTCTTCACAGCAATAGAAATCTAAGACACACAGGCTCCACTTGCCTCTATGATCTTTAGGCTGTCTTCAGGTGGGTCCTCGGACAGTGTGGGGAAGAAGCCAGGCAGCATCAGTTCCCTGGTGGCCACCAACTTCGCCAGCAGTGTGAGAGAGTGAGATGGTGTGATCACATAGAAGTTGCTGGCAGGGACATTCTGACTGCGTCTGGGGATCTGGGGTTCCCCTCTGGCCAACAGCAGCCAATCTCTTTTCTGCAACAAGGACACACATCTTCAGTTTTTGGCCTATTTTGAGGACAGCCCCGACTATAGATTCTGAGTTCTCTTTGGGGTGTCAAGGAGGCCCTTAAAAGAGAGGAGCTCCTAAAAGCACCATTACTGTTCTTCCTGCCTGGTTTAGGGTATGCCCGAGAGAATACCCAAAAGGTTTTGGCGAAGATACAAACTAAGAAATGTTCTTTAACTTGAAGTGAGTTTATTCTAGTTAGACATTAGACTATTAAATACTAAGTGTAGAGTCTAGAAAAATGACGACAATCTTGTGTATGTTGTATGTATGTAATTTATGTGTGTGTGTGTGTGTGCAGGCATGCATGTGCCATGGTGTGTGTATGTCAGGGGACAATATTTGGAACTTGGTTCTTGCCTTCCACCTTGTTGTAGCGAGGTATTTGTTTCTGAAATATATTCTAGGCTAGCTGACCCACAGTCTTCTGGGTAATTTTCCTATCTCCACTCCTCTCTTGCCATAGATTAAAGACGCATGCAACCAGGGCCTAAAGAGATGGCTGAGCAGATAAGGGCACTGGTTACTCTTCCAGAGGATCTGGATTCAATTTCCAGGATCCACATGGTGGCTCACAACCATCTGTACTTCCAGTTCCAGGGGATCCAATGCCTGTGCTAGGGTGACTCACCACTCCTGGTTCCAAGAATTATAATTGTGTGTGTGTGTGTGTGTGTGTGTGTGTGTGTGTAGAGGACAACCTGAGGTGTCATTTTTCAGGTGTCGTATTCTTAAACAGGGTTTCTCTTTGGCCTGGAACTCACCCAGTAGGCTAGGCTAGCTATCTGGTAAGCCCCAGAGATCCATGTGTTTCTGCCTTTCCATCACTGGGATTATAAGCATGTACCACAATGATAGTTTAATGTGGGTTGGTCTAGGGTCTGATTGAGGCATTTTTCCAGTCTCTCTCTTTTTAATTTTTTTGTGTCACTAGAAATTAAATGTAGGGCCTCACACATGCTAGACAAACACTCCACCACTGAGCTATTTTTCCCACCCCTACTTCTTAAAGTTAGTCTTGGAATGGAGGTGTGTAGAGGATGGTGAGGGACATCAGGTCTTATTTTGAGAATAAAGTCTGGTGGTTTTAGCACTGAAGGCAGTTGGGATGGGATGGATGACTGCGGGGGATGCCCCTGGAATACCCAGTAAAGGTTTAAGAAGATGCTCAAGTAGCCTGCAGACCAAGAAGAGAAAGAGGAAGTGTACAGGGGAAAGTTTTAGTACAGCAAGACAGTGGGTGGGGACAAGACCCTTGAGATCAACTCAGTGAGTCCACAGAACAAAGTGAAGTGCTAGACCCTGCGGGCAGTGGCTCTGTGAATGTCACATGCCACAGAGACAGCAGAGGTTAGCACCCAGACAGGAAGAAGAGACAAGCATTTACAAATGAATTTGTAGGCACACCCTTTTTTATGAGATGGAAACAAGGCAACTTTCTTTGGTCCTTTTCCAAGGAAAACTACCAATCTCCAAGAAACATGGAGTCGAATGGTTATAGTCATCAGGAAGTTATGTCCTCTTGTTGGCAGAGACCATTGGCACAAATGTGACAGTTTCCCAGTTACACAACACAGGGAACAACAAACCATACTAGTTCTATCATTCTAACATAAGAACAGTTTGGAAGACCACAGGAAAAGGGAGCATCAGGACTGAGTGGAAGGCCACGGGAAAGGGACCATCAGTGCTGAGTGGAAGACCACGGGAAAGGAACCATCTGCAGCATGAATTCTAATTGTTCTTAATAATAAAAACTCAGAATCAGATTAGGAGATGAAAGCTGAAGGGTCAGAGAAGCAGCGTGGCCAGCCACTAGAGTTCTTACCTCTACCAATGTTCAGATCTAAAAGATGACCCCGTTTCTATAAATCCTTAAACTGTATCTCCAGACTGAATCCTCAGACTGCATCTGAGCTCCTGTCTCCTCCCACTTTATATTCGTCTCTCTGCCCAGTCATATCACTCCCATCTCCACCTCCCTACTGCTGGGATTAAAGGCATGTGATCCCAAGTGCTGGGATCATCTTTGTGTGAACTCTGTTTCTCTTTTAGGCAGATTAAATCTTGTGTAGCCCAGGGTGGCCTTGAACTCACAGACATCTATCTGCCCTGCCTCTGTCTCCCAAAAGCTGGGGCTGGGATTAAAGGTGTGGGCCACCACTGCCTGGTCTCTTATGGCTAACTAGTGGCTTAGTTTTGTACTCTGATCTTCAGGCAAGCTTTATTTGTTAGATTACAAACAAAATATCACCACAACCATCAGTACTTTGTGGAAGACGAGAGAAGTGTCACAGGGAGGCATCTAACACCTGCTGGTAGCTTCGGAGGGAGGACGGAAAGCTCTGCCATCTTAACTCAGTGCCATCAAACCATGCGGCACAGAACACCATGGAGTCTGGTGGTCTCTGGCAAGGGGCAGGGAACCCGCTCATGCTTCCAAGAAGAAAAGCTGTGACTATTCTTGTGGTTGACAGTCATGGGCTGATAAGGGAAGTATGGTGCCTCTCCAATAAAATCTTGGATGAAGATAGGTGAGAAGCATGATGCTTCCTCAAGAAAAGCATGGGTGGAGATGGGCGCTCCGGGCATGGGAAAGCTAACTGTAACCATAATAATAATAATAATAATCTAAAACAGTGGAATGCTTATCCAGCCCCAGGCACTGTGTGAAGAGCATTGTGGAGACCTTAGAAGTTCATATGTGGGCTGGAGAGATGGCTCAGCAGTTAAGAGCACTGACTGCTCTTCCAGAGGACCTGGGTTCTATTCCCAGCACTCATATGACAGCTCACAACTGTCTGTAACTCCAGTTCCAGAGGATCTGACACCCTCACATAGACATACATGCAGGCAAAACACCAATGCCCACAAATAAAAATAATAATAAAAAGAGCTTCATATGCTGAAGCTATTTTTCTTTTATCTAGACTTTTCCCCCTGAAGAACAGATTCAAACTGTGATGCAAAGTCCATCTGAGGCTTACTGAATCTATCAAGCTAGGAGCAAATAATATTAAAATTACGGTGTATGTGCTTGTCAGGGTATTTGCCTACTCTGGGGCCACAGCCTTGCTAAGTCTGAGGGAAGACTAGGCAATTGCTTAGCTTCCACTGGCCAAGGTAACTTCCGATTAGGGTTCAGGATTTCAGTCATCATTGTTTTTCAGATTTCTTTTTGTACCAGTCTAGACATTTATAAGTTTGTTTAAAATGTATTGAGCGGGGAGCTGCAAAGATGGCTTAGCGGTTAGAAGCACTTGCAGAATTGAATACCTAGGTGTAGTTCCTGGCACCCTGGTGCTCACACTCATCTGTAACTCCAGTTTCGGGAGATCTGACATCTTGTGATCTTCATGGGCACTAGGCATTCATGAGGTTCATACACATACAGGCAGGTAAAACATTTATGCATATAAAGATTTTTTTATTGAATATTTATTAGGTTCTAAGCACTAGGTGTATAGAAACTCACTAGATACTGTGTCCTCCTGGCATTTATAATTGAGTAAGGGGAAGCTTGTAAGGGATGTTTATCTAGGACATCACGTGATCCACTCTCCTGACTGGTCTATATTTAGGAACGATTGTCCGGTGCCCAGAAAACTTCTCAGTCCTAAACAAACTGATAATGTCAACTGCGTGCACAAGACTTAACTAAGCATGAGATGGTGAGCTAGGGAGCATGGCGTGTGATGTTTCTTGGATCTCATCATTAAAGAAGAATAATCTCTATTACACTATGGGCTTGCTAAGAGTCTCTGAGTGCCGCACACAGAACACCTTTGGCCACTGGACTCCGAATCGACCTACCTGAGACGACTGCTAAGACTCTGTTAGTCAGCTGATATGTAGGCAAGACAGCAGTCTCAAAAGTCCCTGCTAACACTAGGACCATCAGAGGAACAAGATTTGCTTTTTGGCCCCTCCCTTTTCTTTTTTTCTTCTTCTTCTTCTTTTTTTTTTTTTTGCTGCTGAAATAATTTTAGAGAATGTTTTTAAAGTTATGGGCTGGAGACAGGAAGAGATTGTCAGAAAGCTCTGGAAGAGACATAAATATGTTTCTATTAGATGAAAATGTTAATTTATCTTCAATTCCCAGGAGCACCTGGAGAGGGTGGAGAGGAAGCTGACCTTTAAGGCTCCCATTTAGGACAGTAGATTTCTAGCTTCTCCCCCGAATTTATGGCACTAGAGACTTGAGGTCCGAGACTCAAGTATAAGGATGTTAGCTAAGTTATGGGTTGACCTGTTAGGACAAGCAAATATGGCTAACTGCCACAGCAGGTATCTGAGGCTGAGAAATAGCACTATCTGGGAGTGTCTCAAAACCAGCAGCCTCTGGGGTCCTTGAGGGGAACAGTGCTAATGACCCTAGTAGACAACTGCTAAGTTCTTTCTAATATCCTTTGACTGGGTCTAAGGAAAAGAGCATGAGTTAGATGCTAAACTTACTAGAAGGAAGATACGATGCTATGGATATAAAATATCTCCTATGAGCTCGTGTTTGCTGTGGTCCGGTCGGTGGAGCAGTTTGGGGAGGGAACCCTTAGGAGGTGAGGCCTAGCGGAAGGAAATGAGTCAGCAGAGGCTTATAGTCTGGCCTGGACTCCTGGTTTGGTCCACCAAGATGTGACCAGGCAACTTGTGCATCTGCCACTGTGAGCCTTCCTCGTGGAGCATGTCCCCCACCATGATGTATCTCCTCACTGTGAGACAAAATACACCTCTCTTCCTTCAAGTCACTTCCTTGTCAGGTATTCGCTCACATCCAGAAGAAAGGTAGCTAATATACAGTATGGGGAAAGATGCCTGTGCTTAGGCTGTGATTGGAGATGCCATAGAATGTGGCTTAGACTTCACAAAGTGGGTTCCTTCTCTTCAGAGCAGGTGTGGATGGGGCACGGTTGAATGGCATGCCGTACTCCAAGTTCAGCCTTAGTAAGGTCACCCGCCCCCAACTTCT